CTAAGAGAGTGAAGTTATCCACTCATGATGACCATTACAATGATCCAATCAAGAAGAATTGAATATTGGACGAAAACTAGAGTAAATGTCACTTCTCTTCTCAAAATCTTAAACCCCAAAAAAATTTCTTCCTCAAAACGCATCTGATCTATTTATAGAAAAATTTCGTGTCATTCGCTCAAGTGGATTTTTTCACTCAAGCGAGTATTGATGATTTTTGCTCAAGTGAGTATTGATGATTTTCGCTCAAGCGAGAATTTGCTCGCTTGAGCGATTGAATTCCTGAGAACTTTAACGTATTTTCGCTCAAGCGAGTGTCCATCTCGCTCGAGCGAATGACTTCTAGAGATGTTTAACGTATTTTTGCTCAAGCGAACGTCTACCTCACTCGAGCGAATCTTAGGCTGAAAATCTTCTTTCATTTTTTTCAATTTTTATTCAATTAACTTGAGAATTATGATCTTTGCTCTTGTATCCAGGTACTCTGTAATTCATTCTACATTGATAGAAAAATATATTAGAATCAACATAATTTAAGTGAGTAAATAATAATTCAAAACATAATCACATCAACTTTTACCACTTAATAGGAGATTGTTTTCTATCTTTTAAGTAACCTTTGATGTCATAGAACCATGATTTTCCATCTAGTTCTTCTTATATGGTTTGACAATATGCTAGTTGCTCTTGATGATGCATCTTTATCAGGGGCATATCCTTTTCTTAGCTTATTTTGAACATTGAAAATAAATTAGCTAACTGATTTTCTTCACAAGGGATATAATGGAGGGTTACTTTATTAAATTGCTCCAATAATCCCTTAATATATGAGTGGTATGAGACTAACTTTGAATGTCGAGTCTCTCATTCTCCTTTAAGCTGATAGATGACTAGGGTTGAATCTCCAAAGACTTCCAATACCTTGGCCTTGAATTCAAGAGTTTCTAGTGTTGAATTATTGACAAGTGTACCAAAATTATCAATCGCAGTATAATATTTCAATTAAATAAAAGTCGATCCCACGAGGAACGGTTTCAATGGAAATTCCCAATTATGCTTACTAAGTAGATTAAAACAGATTGAGTTTTACAAATAAGAGATGAATTGAAATTAAATGACAAAGAACTGTAAATTGTTGAGAAAATATCAATTAAAGGTACTTAGGATTGACTTCCTTCCTTATCCCTCTTTTGTAATGACTATGTCAATTAAGAACGTCAATTAACCTAACAATGTTGATGTCACCTACTCAAATCATCCATGTTGATTCCTCACACATGAAATTCATAAGAAAACCTAATAAATGTTGATTCCTCACACAATTAACAGATTTTCCAGCATTAGGGTTAGGGTGTTAAGCAATTGATACATTTATTCAATTCCTGGCAATTAACGTAACAAATATTCTTACCGTGATCTAGGGTTCAAGATATATTTTCCAATCATACCTCAAACAATCAAGAATAAATCATTCCAAAACATAAAGGATAAAAATAACAACATCAAAGCATAGATTAAGATCTCAAAATATCACCATGATACAAAAGAGTTCAAAGGAAGTGCATCGAATCCTAAGGGAATGAAGTTAGCCACTCATGTTGGCCATTACAATGCTTCAATGGATGAAGAAGTGAAAAATTGATGAAGATTAGACAAAACCCTAACAGTAATCGTGTCTCCTCTTCTCCAAGACTGCTTGCCTTTCTCAAAACACAACTTATCTTTTTATAAGAGAATTTGGGCCGGGCCTCGCATCATTCATTCGCTTAAGCACTTTTCTTTCTTTCAATTTTACTCCAATTATGTTGACAATTATGCTCCTTACTTTTGTATCAAAGTATTCTCAAATTCATCCTATATTGGGAGAAAAATATATTAGAATTAACATAAGTTAAGTAATTTCATAACAATTCAAGACATAATTATATCAACTTTTTACCACTTAACAGTTAGTAACCCCATCACACATGCTTCTTATTCTTCTTCTTATTCTTCCATATTATTTGTACAATCAAAATCTAGTCTTGTAGTGAATGAGATAATTTGACTTTCAGGAGAAATTAATATTGCATCAATTCCATGCCCTAATATATTAGACACTCCATCAAACAACAAAGTCCATTTTTCGTTGTTTACTGTTTCTCCTTCTTCAAACAATGACAATATATTATCACCTGGGAATTCATGTTGCATGAACTAATAATGCTTTATGGGATTACAGCCCAAAAATTATGTTACAACGCTACCTTTAATAGCCTTTTATGTTATATAAGTAATATCATACTCTAATAGTAACACTTACCATTGAGAATTTAAACCAGTTAGGGTGGACTTCTCAAATATATACTTCATTGATCCATTTTGAAAACTAGCTAGGTAGTGTGACACAACATTTATTGTCTCAGTCTATGAGTAACCCATACCAAAACATAACATGTTCGCTTTAACAAATAATATCTTATTTCACAATCTGTGAATTGATTTCTTCTGAAGACTATTATGTTGTGTTGGTGTTGTTTGTTCCACTATTTGTTGTTTTGTGCTTGTGTTTCTATTGATCTTTTTTGCTTTGGTTTTGTCTCCCCTCCTCCCTTGAAGTTTTTAATCCTTCAATTTATATAGGAACCCTTACCTATTGATGAACCCAATTTTAGGTAACATGTTGGTGGTTGTAGTAGTGCAAATGTTAGTAGTTATGCAAAATTTTCATTTATTTTATTTTTTATGAAAAAAAAATTGAGGAGTTTACATTCAGTTACCTATACTGTATCATATTTTACTAAGTCAATCACTACTCAAATCATCAACCTATACCAAATCACATTTTACTATATGTCAATTACTACTCAAATCATCAACTCTGATATCATTTATAGGTATATTTTCGAGGAGGAGCTAATATTGGGAGATTCTAACCAAATAAGACCGAATCATTTGTGGAAGCATTTCCCTTGACTGGAAGACTTTCAACACACTATTGGGTATTTCTAAAGAGACTAACAACGAGGAGATTTCCGACAATTATAAAATAAAATATGACATCATTGTCAACCAAACATTTTAAGACATTAAATTATGAATTTTTTTCTAACTTATTCAATTTTCTCATTTTTATTCAATGTGTGATTTCAACTCACATTTAAATTCTTAGTGTTTTTCGTTAAGAGATACTTGCACTCAAGGAAAGATATATGTATTAGCCCCTCATCACTACTCAACTATTTATTTGTCTTTCACACAATTTTTTTTTTCATGTATATAAGATGAATGAAAAAAACAATCTTGGCATATTATAAAACAAACTAATAATTATTTTATTTTTAACTATTCTAAAACAAAATTTAGACTTTAATATTTTTTTCTCACTTTTTTCATTTTCTCATTTCAAATTTTTATATATTTGTGTCCTTTTATATTTTTATCCTCTTTTTTATACTACTTGTCTATCTTCATATATATTACATTTTTATCTTACAACATAAAATTTGTAAGTCTTTTTCTTTAGTTTTTTAAATTTTCTTTTGTACAATTTTACATTTATAATTGTGGCATCCAAATAATCTATCCCATCACCAGGGTTACTCACATAATGAGCCTTGTTCTCTTAAAGGTACATTCTAACCTGGAAGTTCACATAATAAATAATTAACGAATGTAGAGCATTACTAACAGAGACCTATATCTAAGTAGAACAATTGATAAAAAGAGATATTAGAATTAGTGGAGACAAAGTCACTAGATAAAAAATATAATTCATTAAAAATATAAAGAATTTTCGACAACAATAATAACATAAAAAGTTTTTATTTTTTTTATTTTTTCAGTTTGATACATTTTTACATTGGAGAAAGATAAAAAGTTAAAAAATAAGTTAGATATCCTACAATACATTTCTTAAAATAAAGAAATTATAAAAAAATATTTTCTTTATCATTTTTGTTTTTTATTATAATAAATTAGTAAATAATTGTGTAGTATAAAAATATGAAATATGGATATAAATTTTTTTATTTATTATAAATTAGTTAGTTTTTTAATATTTTATGATGATTTATTTTAATATTAAAATATAAAAAAAAATTCTGGTTGAATTTTAGAACATTTTAAAAAATTATAAATTTAATTTTCAAGAAAAAAAGAAAGAATAAATAATGAAATACATTTTAATCTTTAAATTCAACGAATAATATTAAATAATATATTTATTTTTATATAATAATTAATTTTCATATGTTTTATCTGTTTTAAATTTTTTGGTTCCAGTCCGTGTGCACCAACTTTATCAATGATTTGTCTATGTTAAGAACCTGACGGATTAATTTTACTAGAATTTGACATTCTAACCAATAAATAAATCATCGGATAGTTTAGGATTATCATATGCTCATAATCTCAACCAATCTTTAATAATAATCTACTCAAGCTTTCAATTTAATATAAAAAAATAACACAATACTACATATCATATAAAAAAACAATGAAGATCACGATGGTATATTGAACCACTTAATAATATTTTTTTTATCCACAAATTTCACATAATAAATCCGAATTCAAATCACTAGAATCAATGAAATGTCGATTTATTTTACTATTAGTATCATTTTATTTTATTTGATAACATTTTTTTTTCCAAAATATTTTCTCTTGACAGACAATTTTTTATGAGACATTATCAAATACTAACATAAATGCCCTTTATAGTAAAAATTCAAACCTTTGTCAACTTATAAAAAACAAAACAATTTCAACTTAATCTCCACAATATTTGATCATATTTTATATTAATTTTTGACTACTCACCATATCTATAAATGTTATTTTATATGTAGTAATTATTTTCTAATTTTGTTGATGACTAATTTACTAATATACTCCCAATAGAAAAGTTATTAGACAATTCAATACCATAAAATGACCATATTCTCAACATGTAATTGACGCTAATTTTTCCATTCGTCACCACATCTATAAATCAACCCTCTCAACCTTGCTTAATCATGTCATTCTCACTAACTATTCAACTCCAACTATCCCAAGCAATAATGAAGACTCTAATTCCTCCCACTGCTTCTACCTTGTTTTTATTCTCTCTCTTCCTTCTTCTCTCTATCTTCACCTCAAACCTCCATTCCGCCGCTGCCGACGCCGTCACCGACAGAGACGGCGATGCACTTCGAAACGGCGGCACATATCACATCCTCCCTCTCTTCGGAGTAAGGGACGGCGGCGTAGAACTCGCCGCCACCGGAAACGAAACGTGTCCTCTCACCATCGTTCAATCCAGCACATCACAAATCTTCCGGGGACTACCAGTGAGAATCTCATCCCCATATCGAATGGCTTACATCACCGAAGGCCTGACTCTGAACCTGGCTTTCGCTTCTTCGCCATCGTGTGCACCCACTCCTCCGAACTGGACCGTTGTGAAGGACCTACCCGAGGGACAATCCGTGAAACTACCTGGGTTCCGAAGCACGGTGAGTGGGTGGTTTAAGATTGAAAAATCTTCGCTTGAGTACTTGTACAAGGTTGTCTTCTGCGCACGTACCGGTGGGACGTGTGGAGATGTTGGGATTAGTGTTGATGATGAGGGGATGAGTCGGTTGGTTGTTACCGAGGAGGAGGATGAAGGCATTATTGTTGAGTTCATGAAAGCTGGTTAGGTTGGTGTTTCAAATCATGTATGTGATAAATAAATTGAACTCTAAACAGCCATACCGTATGATGTTATAAACACACACGTTCACAAAAATTATCATCATGCATCGAGACCTGACGGATGTTCTTGAGAGCTGATTGCGTCACCAACTTTATATCTCTATCTAATTTATAATTTTTTTTTTCACAAACTTAATAAACATTTATATTTAATTATATATTTATAATTTTATTTTTTAGTCTCTTCTTAATTTTTTAACTCTCATATCATTTATAATTTTATACTTTTCTCAAATTTAATTATCATTTAATATATTTTTCAAATGTAACTATATTTTAATATATTTAAATATATATTTACAATTTTATCTTTTTATTATTTTATCTTTTTTTTATATTTATTAATAATATATTATTTAACCCTACAATTAATATTAAATATTTATCATTATACATGGAGTTTGATAATCAATCTAACATATATTATGGTGATGAGAAACTCCTATTTTTTTTATTTATTTATTTATTTTAATGTTACATGATCATGCATGAATATCATGAGCGTGTAGATTTTATGTCTGAGATAATTAACTCAAATATACAAGTCACTTTTGAAATGGATGGGTAATTTCTACACGTAAATAAATACGGATGTAATTTATGATTTTAACCTTAAATTTTAATATTTTTATTTATATATTTATAATTTTATTTTTTTAATATATTTTTTTTAATTTTATAATTTTCATATAATTTATAAATTTATTTTTCAATTTAATGATTATTTTATATTTTTTATAATTTTATAATTTTATTCTTTTATTTTCCTTCACCTTTTTATATTTATTTATTATTTTTTAATAATATATTATTTAATCCTAAAATTAATAGTAGTTGAAGGAAAAAATAATAATTAATATTTAATTTTATTTTTAATACATGAAGTTACATCACTCAACTATGACTTGGTCTTATTTGCCACGGTATTTGTCTTCAAGAGTGCATATTCAAAATAGATCACTTGGGCTAGATGGAGAATAATTTTATGCATACATTATGTAAAACTTCTAGGAAGATTTTAAGAATACATTACCAAAGAAAATTACTGTAAATATGAATAGTTTCTTATTTTTCTCGTGTATTAATTTCATTAATTTTCTACTTTTTCAATTCTAAATTAAATAATTTATTTAAAAAAATTCACATCATATGTAATAATTAAAAAAAAATATTAATACAACATGATAAGAATGAAATTTTAAAGCAATATGATAACACGAAGATGAGATAATCGAGAACGCTAAAATAAATGGCAACGAACTTCTCATAATTAATTAATTTTATGCTGAAATGACTAAGGAACATGACCTTCATTAGCAGTTTCACTATAGTGCAATCCCCAGGATAATACTAGTAAAAGTAGTTATGATGATGTCTAGGATAAGTTTACTCATAAACAATCTTAATATTTTTATTATTTCAAAAACCGATTTTAAAGTTAGTTGAACTAATTTTAGGATTTTTTTTTTCTTATATATTTTTATATTGTACATGTCTATAGAGAAACTTACCCGATCAAAATCATATCTTTTGTAAAAAAGCTAAATATGATTACTTGAACATTTAGGAGGTAATTGCAGAGCGCATTTAGCAGCAAGGCCAAACCATTTTTCATTTTAGTGATGTTGAGAATATTTTTAGTAATTGCAGGCTCTGTAGTATCACGTTGACGGAGTGTTATTTGACGTGTCATGTGAGTGGTATGACTTCACCACATGGATGCACTTAATGCTAAACTAATCATAACAAAACAAACTTTAAGGGGAAAATGCTACTTTTGCAAATTTTGTTTTAATAACACCATTTCAGAAACTCAAATTATTTATTTATTTATTTATATTTTAATGTTTATAATTAAAATATAATTTAATTACTTTGATTAAATATTTTAGACCTCATCATACTTTACCAAATTTTTTTCTTTTAATTTAGATCTTAAATTTAAAGTTCTGAAGACTCTTATATAAAAGACACTATAATGATTAAACAAATAGAAGTAACATTTTTTAAACTTTGAAAATAAAATAAAATCTAAAAAATAAACTCAAATTAAAATTATAGATATTTTAGTATATATTTGTGATAGTTGTCTTAATATATGTTGATTTTTTACATTTTTTGGTTCAAATGTGACTTTTTTTTTTAATTGCTTCATTTTTTTATCTTATTTTCCTTAGAAGTTTTATCATTTATTTCGTTAATTAGTGGATCTATGTCTACAATTAACTTTAGCTTTTTCTAACATATTTATCCTTTTAATTCCTCTTTCATTATTTTATAATAACTTTAAACCTTCGTTTACAATTCATCTTCATGAACACCAACTCTTCAAAACAAATACGTCTTTCTGTTAATCTTTTGCTTTTGATTTTACTATCACCTCTAATTAAATTCATACTTCTTATAAATATGGATATTGTTGCGAGTTGCACAATTGTCCCGTGGCGCAGGTTAGGTGGGCCAAGTCACAATCGGTGGCGCAGGCTAGATGGGCCAAGTCACAATCCAAGTGGGATTCCTCGTAGGACAATTGCTGAGGGGGAGATTATTGCAGGTAACATCAATTGTCCTGTGGCGGAGGCCGGGTGGGCCGAGTCACAATCGAATCGTGGCGCTTGGGATGTTACTCTTAAGTAAAAAGAGTTGTGCTCTGACTAATAGTTATAGCTTTTGGCCTAGTGGTAAGCGCTCGATCCTAACAATTGGTATCAGAGCCAAGGTCACGAGTTCGATTCCTAGTGGACAATTGTTAAGGGGGAGATTGTTGCGAGTAGGGATGACAAAACGGGTCAGGCCCGGCGGGCCAGCCCGCCATAATATGGCGGGGCGGGTTGGTGTTTTCAGCCGCCAACCCGCCGAGCCAACTTGCGGGACGGGCGGGCCAGCCTGCGGCCCGCCTAATTAATAAAAAAATAATTTTTTATTGTAATAAAAATTAATTATAAAGATAATATATAAAGTTAAAAATTTTAAAAAGAGAATTAAAAAAGTTTCACTCTCACATAAAATATTTTCCTTACTGAAACACAACCTTCTCTCCTATTCTCCTTGTTCATCTTAAACACTTATTATTTTTATTCTTATGACTTGAATTAAAGGTGTAAGAATTACTCAACCAAGAATAATGTGAAGTTTTATCAAATAAAAAAGATATAGGTATTTGAATTTTTCAATATAAAAAATATAAATTTTATAAGTTTTAACGTTATATATATATATATATATTTGTTATTATTTATTATTATGTAAATTTCATTATTGTTCTAAATTATAATTTCTTAAAATAATATATTGATTTATATTATTAAATTGAAATTATATATATATATATATATTAAATTATTGACAAACAAATAATAATCTTATTATTAAATTTATTAAAAAAATTATTTTAAAAAATAAATTATTTTTTCTAAATTATGGCGGGCTAGCCCGCCGACCAGTCAACCCGCCCCTTGGCGGGACGGACCAAGGTCTACAGCCGTCATGACTATATCGGGCCAGCCTGCCCCGCCCCGTTTTTGGCGGGCCAAAGGCGGGGCGGGGCAAAACGGGGCGGGCTATCCCTAGTTACGAGTTGCACAATTGTCCCGTGGCGCAGGCTATGTGGCTAGGTGGGCCAAGTCACAATCGATGGCGCAGGCTAGATGGGCCAAGTCACAATCCAAGTAGGATTCCTCGTAGGACAATTGCTGAGGAGGAGATTATTGCAGGTAACATCAATTGTCCTGTGGCTGAGGCCGGATGGGCCGAGTCACAATCGAATCGTGGCGCTTGGGCTGTTACTCTTAAGTAAAAAGAGTTGCGACTAATAGTTATAGTTTTTGGCCTAGTGGTAAGCGCTCGATCCTAACAGATATCATCTGTGTTCTTTGTATCTTTAATTACATAATTTCTACCTTTAAACAAAACCATGCCAAGCGGTAAAAAATAATTATTATTAGAGAAGAAATTGAATTTAGATATAATTTCTTAAATTCCATCTGTTTTTAACCTAAATTTATTTTTATATTTTTTTCTTGCTTAAATTTTAAGATTTACAAAATATATTCTAAAAATGAATATTAAAAGTTAAATCAAACACAATTTCAATTTAAACATTCGGTACAAAAAATATCACAATTAAATTATAAAATTTATGCAAACAATTAAATAATAAAATAGCAAATACTAATGGGGTATTAATAGTGTGAAGGACACCCCTCCCCTGTAATCAATATTCATGAATTATTTATGTGTCATTTAGCTCAGAAACAAGATATTTCATTAAATTAAACAGATTAATTGTACGCATTAGTAGACAAGGAGGGAAAAGAGTAACATATCTTGTATATCAAACACCTTTGCAACATCAAACACTAATACTCCACACATCAGCTTACAAACTTTTGGACATAACACACTCATTAAAATAAACTGCACCCTTATTATTCACGGAGTATCAAATGCTGTCTTCAATTTTCTTCAGTGGTAATGAAACCAGTGAAAGAAATTTAAGACTAAGGTGCTTGTAATCATCATGACCTTCATTAATTGCTCCACTACACTGCAAAAGTGAAAAATTATCTTGTCAAAGACAAACAAAAGTAATTAGGGATGTTCATATATCATATGTACTACTCAAATTGAAGAGAAATAACTGTCAAAATTTCAGATGGGATAATAGCCTAATTAACCATTATGATCACTCTCAAAAAGTAATTAACATATGTTCAAGGCATATTCTGGATAAAGATGTTTTACCTCAGCAGTTAGGAGGTGATTTCAAACCACATTTACCCGGCAAGGCCAAAGCATTTTTGGAGTTTATTCCAAGTGCAGGTAGGGTAGACTTGTATTGGCAAAGGCAAGGCAAATTGGCTTGGCGAATAACTGCACAACATTTTTCATCTGGTGGTGGAGGGTTCTGACCAGTAACTGCATCACGACACAAGTTCAGATTTCT